CCAAAGGATGAGAACGGGCTCACTATTACATCTTAATACAAATAAATTTGAACAGAGTTCAACAGAAAAATATGTCGACTGTACACGTTGCTGCCTTTCACAGTTTCACAGACCTTGAGAGTGGCTTGGCAGTTCTGCAAGTGTTTATTGGAGTTCTCAAATTGATATAATAATATTTTTAACTGTGACTTTAACTGTTTCTGCGCTATGACAGGCCTCATGGATCGATATTTTTTAAATACATGTTGGTGATATATCAACCTTTCAACAAAACTCCTTTCCCTATAAATCATTAAATATGCTAATTAAAAACAAATTGCCTAAATTTAAACTTTCAGCACCAGTGACAAAACAAACTGCCGGTGTTGATACAACATACATTCAAGTAGTATTTTACAAAGTTGGTGAGATAAAAAAACAACATATTGCTTCTCAAATGCTACCCGTGCTTGTTTAGAATCTGTTGATCTTTCAAATCCGAAGTGATGCATAAATGTGTCTGATAATCTAATATAATATAGATATATTGACATATATCTATTAAAGGTTGCTTTTCCATTTATATCCCTCTAAAAGCATATTTAAATGAGTTTGTACTGAAGCAATGCACTGCTTTTACCTTTACTCTCTGAGTAGGATGACAGGACAGAGTACTAAGTAAAAACTATTGAAATTTTAACTTAAAACCAAAAATGCACACTGTCCACTCAAGTGGACATCTGAAAATCTCTTTGAAAAAATGTGAGAACAAAATAATAAGTTAAAATCTTTTTTTTCATGCCCCAAGAGCAATAAGAATACATAGAGGGAAAAAAAACCCTGAGGCTGTGATAACTCATGCATGAAAGGGTTAATAGTGTATTCAGGATCGGTTTTTCTATTCCCTGGGATTCGAAACCCATGACCTTGGCATTACTTAGTGCCATGCTGTCAAATATGAATGACTTAAAAGCTCTTCAACACAAAAGAATGTGAAAGCATTTGACGGTCATTTAGAGACATAGAACATTTTGACAGGGGATGTCACCTTGTGCGGCCGGACCTCGCTGTGACACCGCATCAGATTGAGTGATGCGCTCAGAGGACAGGAATAGTATTTTGGATGCACCGCGTGGGGGTTGGTCAAACGCTTTATGAATATCACATAGAACGCACGAGTATGATACACATTAGAATAAGAGTAATGTTTGGAGTGTGCATGCTGCACTTTCAATGGGGGGGGGCTGGGCGCTGCAACATACCGCAGTGCTTGAAGCTTTCAGCACACCCACTCCATCATCTCCTCTCTCGCTCATACTCACCCACAGTGCCCCTCTGTCTTTTATGTTCCTGTACCATTCTCTCTTTCTCCAACACATGCTCCTCCCTCTTTCTTCTGCCCTACATAGACTATTTCCTCTCCTTTACACTGCTTACACAACACCACTCTCCCGTCCTCATATACACACACTATGAACAGATAACACACACACATGGCCTACACACTTCCCCTAATGTAGTAACACGCACAGTCAAGCTTTGCTGTACCAAGATTTATCAGCTTGTCATCAAGCCCAGCAGGAAGACCAGTCTTGTCGAATGAATCGATTGCCCATTGCACAGGGATTAGTTGGGGAAAATTTACCAGAATGTTTTAATTAAAATCTGTAATTAGACCTAACTTCTTGCCTGGTTGACTTCTATTACCTCATTAGGATTATTTAAGGATCGTATTCAAGCAGTTTTATTTGCAGTGGTAATGTGTTTCCTATTGAAAGAGGAAGTTATAGGGCAGGACATTTTGAAGGACATGCCTATAGTCCTTTAGGCTACGTCTACATTAAACCGGATACATTTGAAAATGTCTTTTTCGTTTCAAAACGCTCTCCATCCACACTAGCGTTTTCAAGCATTTTCCAAATGTAAAAAAACAACAAAAACCCCCGCTAAATTCACCTAACAGCGAGTGTTTAAACCCTCATGAAAACTCACTGAGATGATACAGACGGAACAGGCATCATAAAGTTCTCATGCTATTCTTCAGACAGGATCATTTTATTTAACAAAATATCTCACCATTCACTGATGTATCCAGGTCGCACTCACTCACCATTATATATTTAGTCTAAAACGCAACTGCTCTCATGTTTTGCTGCAGTAAAGCAATTGCGAGTACATTTTCTGCCCTCTTTGCAGGACTGTGATATAAAGATTGTACAAAGAAACATATATTTAACAACATTATGAAAGTGAATGGCACATAACAGGCACAATACCGCTATACACATATCTATCGATTCAATAAGCGTTGCAAGACTGAACCTGCGTACCGTTTTCAAATACCTCCGTTTTCGCAGTCCACACTACAACGCAAAAACACCATTTTCAAAGTTATCCTCTTGGGAACGAGTTTACAAAAAGCTACGTCTTCGCATGACAAAAACGTTTCAGTGTGGACGGAAGGCCAAAACGGAGAGAAAAAGATGCGTTTTCAAACGAAAACGTATTTGTGTGGACGAGGCCTTAGGTGATCTGTTTCTGGGTCACATGCTAGAGAAAACAAAGGAGCATTAGCTAGCATTGCAAAGCACAACATGATTTGCTGTTTGCTATTGCTAGAATTACAATGTACTTATAATTGAGGTATAATTAAGGTAATTATGTATGTTGTTTGTTGCATGTATCACAACAGTTCATGAATGAAATGTCTGGCGAGTGGCGCTAAAATGCTAAAAAAATGTAGCCTTATGAAATAATGTGCCACCTACACTAATGCCTAAACCTTACTGATAATGTTATCAAAAGCAAATATGAGATAAAAACGCATTTTCTAAAGCATGCCATACCATTTTAGCTTGCTTCTACAAGTTCTTTTGTCATGACTCGTGTTTCAAGGTCCACATCGCAATTTCAATCCTGTATCAGGTGAGCTACTGAGCAAGTTTACTAAATCTGAAAAGCTAAACATGGAGCTGACACAAATCATGTGATCAAAATTAATGCATTAAAGGTGACATATTATGCCCCTTTTCACAAGATGTAATATAAATCTATGAAATTGTAGCTCAAAATACCCCCCAGATAATTTAGTATAGTTTGTCAAATTTGCCTCTTTTTGAGTGTGAGCAAAAACACACCGTTTTTGTTTGTGTCCCTTTAAATGCAAATGAGCTGCTGCTTCCGCCTCCTTCTGAAGAGGCCGGTTCTTTACATGAGCTTCAGATACTCTGGCAATTACAAACACACAAATAATTTAAAATCTCAGGAGTAACCAGTAGCAGAGTGCAGCTTTACGGAGAGACTCAGGAAGACTGCAACTTTTAGACGCACAGACGTTTCTGAATGGTTAGTGGATACACTTATGTAGTTGTTGTGGAGTTACATTGATTCATCTCATCGTTGTACCATCATGTTTAACTTTTACACAAGTTGACACAGTTCCCTGAGGTCTTTATAAGACAGCTGTGACATTTTTTGTTCAAATAGTGTTCTGTACTCGTCTGTGCAGCAACGACAGAACAGTTTGCATGCTTTGCTCAAAATTTTGCTTTAGGATTGGTTAACGTTACACTGTTGTCGCTTGCGAAACCATATGGCAGCGCATGGGTGGAAACATGCAGATTAAGAGACTGTAATTTTATAATAAGATCCCCTTCCTACGTCAAAAGGGGAGCGAAATCTGATCGGCTTATTTTTTGACATGCTTGCAGAGAAAGGTTTACTAAAATAAAGTTACTGTTGTCACTTTTCACATTTTCTGGGTTGTTAGATGCACCGGGGACCCGATTATAGCACTTAAACACAGATAAAGTCAGATTTTCATAATATGTCCCCTTTAATGTACAAATCATGCACTATGGTAAACATGTTTTTAGATCATAGCATAGTGTTGTGCAAAGAACTGCACAAAAATAAATATTTTTTAATCAATAATCTTCTCCTGTAATCATAATAGTGTGAAAAGGAATGAAAGTTGTTGGTGTTTTACTGCATGTAACATTAACTTAAGCTGATGACTGATGTATGTATAGATACATTTTTGGAGGTTTACAGATTTTTCTAACGAGAGGTTGCATTTAGATTAACTCAAAGCTAATAAAAGCTACAAAACTAGAAACCTTAAAGGGCCACTGTCCTGCAGTGTTTAGCTCCAAAACACCTGCCTGAAAGTTTCTAGCAATCCTAAAGACCGTGATTAGCAGGTTCAGGTGTGTTTAATTTGAGTTGGAGTTGAAATCTGCAGGACAGTGGTACTCCGGGAACTAATTTTGACACCCCTATTTTATAGTAAGACATGGCGCCCTCTACTGGCCCTCTAAGCTGATAAAAAAGGCATTTAAGCGGGGGTTAAGGTGCAAGGGAAGGGTAAACAGTATACATATAGATGTAATTACTGAAAAGAATTACAGATGTAATTACATGCAGGTAATTATAATAATAAAAGTACAATGTAAAAACATGTATGTACATAATAATTGCATTGTTTCAAATGATTGATTTAAATGTTAGCACATACAAGTTAAAGACACTTTATAAAGTGGGACCAACAAAGCTATTAACATTTGATAATTTGTGCTGCTGATGTGTTGATATGATATCTTAACTATTGATATAACTAACACTCTTTATTACTTTTTATTTCTCATTATTTCAATAATAAAGGCTATCTTGTAATTGATTATATAAAGAACCCTAACATAAAATAGAAGTAGGCTATAATCACCTAGATCTTTAAACACTACAGCCAGTAATACAGTCAAAACTAAGCGTTGTACACCTTGTAGTTATCCATCAAATGAATAATAAAATCATTGTTTGCCTTTAGTAATATAATAGGTATATGTTCTAATGCTGGATTTTGAGGTTACACAATAGTCCAATCTGCACTGTCCCAATAACGAATCACCCATGCAGATTTGGTAACATGCCTTCAAATTAAATGATTTCTGAGTATTTTGTACAATGCAAAAGTAAATAACTGGATTTTTATGCAGACATCATATTTTAAAATGGCTACTTACCATATGTGCCGAGTGTCCCAAAGAGAAACTTAATGGGATGTTAAGCCAAAAGCCTCAGAAAAGCACTATATTGTCTAAAATCTCCTCTCTTGAGGTGCCTTTAAAGAATACGCAGTGGCTTCAGTCGTCCGGCGTTATTCACAGTAAACTGACTCAGAGTTGAAGATCAGCTGATGCAGAAGCAGAAGAGAACATACATGCAGGATATTTCCTCTGCTCACTCAGCCCTTTAATATTTTACTGCTGTACTTACCAGCAGTGTCTCCTGATTGGCTGAGCTGCTGCACAGTAATGTATGCTCTTGCCTTTAATTGGATGGAGACAATTTATGAGGCCCGTCCAGCCAATATTCCTGTTCACTCTACTTTGTGTTCTCTCTCTCTCTCTCTCTCTCTCTCTCTCTCTCTCTCTCTCTCTCTCTCTCTCTCTCTCTCTCTCTCTCTCTCTCTCCCTCTCCCTCTCCCTCTCCCTCTCCCTCTCCCTCTCCCTCACACACACACACACACACACACACACAAAGAGAGAGATAGAGAGAGGATAGCTGAGCTGTGCAATATCAGAGGAAGCGCAGGGGATGAATGACATGTAGACTAAAAAATATAGATGAAGGCAGAAGAGAGAACAAACTGTTAACATTTACTGTAACTAGCTTTCATCGAGATCAACATACTAATGAGGAAAAGCACAAGGAATCAATAATATATTAGCAGTTCCACAATAATTAATTTTGAGAGTGCAGAAGTGTGACTGTATTTGTGTGTGTGTGTGTGTGTGTTAATAGGAGGAGTCTTTATGTACGATTATGGATTATTTAAATGTTCATAAAATAGATTCAAAGGGTCATGATAGGACAAAAGATACTTGCTATAATAAGTGTATGTTGGCAGTGTTAAGTGTTCTTGCAGTAAATGGTAAAATAATCTGCGTGAACAGTGCGTTTATGATTACAATAATAAAAAAATATATAAGTGGATGAGACCGGAAGCCTCTACACATTCAGGTTACTCTATCAAAGTTACGTTAATAACAAGGTGAATACGCATACGACCCGTGTTTCTCACTTTAAAGGGAACAATGTAATTTTACAGGTTTATCACTCAGAAAAGGTTTTGAACATTTGGACATTTACCAGGTGAACAGCATTTTTTTTTTTTTTTTTTTCAAAATGATAAATTAAGATGATTTCACTGTGATTTTTTGATAGATGAGTTTTAGACTCTCTCACTATTCTGTTGTTATCTGTGTGACATCAGTTTGTGTGTCATCAGCCTAAACAAGTTGATTTCTGTCAAATGTTCTCTTACGAGAGGTTCTCTCGTATTGCGTAAGTTTAGCTTACGCTACGGGAAAGATTCATAGTGTCTTCATAGTGTCACAAAAGTAGGGGCTGTAGGCTGACTTCCCTGATTTTTCATCTCTTCAGTGAGCTCTTCGCATCGCTGGATCTGAGAGAACCTTGCAAACCTATTCCTAAAAGAGCGCGAGTGTCTTTTAAAAGATGCCTCGCACTTCCTGCGGCTCGTGTAGCACCCCGCTCAGCGTCGGAGACCGCCATGTGATCTGCGCTCTCTGCCTGGGCCTGGAACATGCAGAGCTCGCCCTCGCGTCCGGGGGCTGCGAGCTCTGTGAAGCGCTTCCGCTGTCGACCCTGCGGGCTCGACTCGAAGCCTTCAACCCCAAAGCAGTCACTTCGCTCTCTGTGGGACCGCGCAGGAAGAAGCCCCGTTCCCTGAGACAGCCGGAACCCGTGGCCACAGCGACGCGCTCGCCGGAGAACCTCCCTCGAGCCTCGCTTTCGCCTTCCCCGCCTCCCCTCACCAACGCGCAGCTGCCGCTCACGAGCCTCACTGCCATCGCATCTGAGGATGAGGCCGAGGGACACGCCACGAGAAACTGCTGCTCCATCCTGGCATCAGACAGCGAGGAATGGTCGCTTCACTCCGCCTCCTCGTCGATCCAGGAATCCAGCCGTCCCCGCGCTGGAGCTGACGCGGAACTGATGCGCCTGCTGACGCAGGCTGTAGACCGTCTCGGGCTCGAGTGGTCGCTGCCGAAGGAACCCACGCTGAACAGGCTCGACGGCTGTTTCCTTCAAAGTCGCCACTGTGCAGCTTCAGCGAGCAGGCCCGCTCCATTCCTGCGGGAACTTCACACGGAGCTGACGAAGTCATGGAATGCACCATTCTCCTCGAGACTTCAGTCCCAGGCCTCCGCGTCGCTCTTCCAAGTGGACGGCGCCGCCGAGAAAGGGTACACGGCTATTCCCCCTGTGGAAGAGGCGGTCGCAGCGCACCTTTGCCCGTCCTCCCTGAGATGGCGGTCACGGTCAGCCCTCCCGTCAAAAGCCTGCAGAGCAACGTCCGCCTTGGTCGGCCGCGCATATGCCGCCTCCGGCCAGGCCGCGTCTGCTCTCCACTCCATGGCTGTGCTACAGATCCTGCAAGCCGACCTCCTCCGTGAATGGGATGAGAAGGGCCGGGATCCAGCTGGAGTTACAGACCTGAGAAGCGCGATGGATCTCTCTCTCTCCGCGCCACCAAAACCGCAGCTCAACCCATTGGACGAGCCATGGCCGCGTTGACTGTAACAGAGAGGCACCTCTGGTTGACCCTCGCGGATATGAGGGAAACTGAGCGAGCCAGCACAGCCTCAGCCTTCGCAGCGACGTCAGGGCGGCCGCCCTAGGTCGCGCTCAGACAGCCGTCACAGACCGCCGCCCCTCAGAGGGCCTCGGCAAAAGATCACGCTGAAGCCTGAGCACGCAAAGCCCTCCTAACAAAGAGAGACGCTGCGGCCGGACCGCCGTCAAAGTTTATTTCCCTGTCAGTCCCCTTCAAACAGGCTACTGCAGTGGTTCATTTAGCAGCCAACGAGCCGGTTTGTTCACCCTCTCGCCTGCACACAAACGCCGTTTTCACGGCGACCCAGAGAAATCTCAGAAAGAGTATTATGTCTGGTCCGGCTCACGCCGTTGGTGTTTTAAGTGTAGTGAAAGTGCCCACGCCCCAGTGTTCACCCCTACACACAAGCACTTCAAATCTCGTGTCACTCACAGAGCACACTCTCATAAAGCGCAGAAAAGCCGCTCGAGTGTTGAATGTAAGAAATGTGTCCACAGGTCTGTGCCCACTATCTGCCCGCTCTGTTACACGATCAAGAAAGCAGGTTATGAATGTAAGTCTCATGCCCGCCAGAGAGCGTTCACGCTTACTAACACAAACCTCACCCTGGGCGCCGCCCGCGCGTTTAAGTGTTATCACAAAACGCAAGGCATTAATAAGACGCTCCCCATCCATTTCGATCGGGGCGTCAAATACACTTGTAAGTCTCGTGCCCGCGCACACGCGCTCACGCTTACAGGAAGCTTTTCCGCCCAGAGCCCTGCTCGCGCGTCAAAAAGTGAGAAGAAAATGTTCCCCATCCCTTATGATTGGGACATCTCACATAAATCAGCCGGTTTCGGTTTTCAGCAAGCAGCCATTGGCTCCGGTTCAGTCTCACAAGCCCGCAAATGGCGGCGATCTGAACCCGGAGGCCATTCGCCCCCTAGCGAAGCTGCTGTGCAAAGGGGCTTTAGAAAAGGTTCCGCCTTCTCTGAGCGAGTCAGGCTTTTACAGCCGATATTTTCTCGTACCCAAGAAGGACGGAGCCTTCAGACCTATCCTAGATCTGAGAAATTTGAACAAAGTGCTTGCAAAAAAGGCCGTTCAAAATGCTTACGACCAGGAAAATCCTCGCGCACATTCGCCCGAGGGACTGGTTAATTTCTCTAGATCTGAAGGATGCCTATTTTCAGATTCAGATAAAACCCCGTCACAGGCAATTTTTGAGATTCGCCTTCGACGGTCAGGTATATCAATACACCGTCCTGCCGTTCGGCCTGTCTCTAGCACCCCGTACATTTACGAAGTGCATGGACGCGGCGCTCGCCCCCCTGAGAAGTCAAGGGCTGCGAATAATGAACTATCTGGACGAATGGCTGATTTTGGCACAGGTAGAGACAGAGCTGCTATCTCACAGAACAGTGCTTCTCAGTCACCTGGAGAGCTTGGGTCTCACGGTCAACTGGACCAAGAGCTCATTACTGCCCAGCCAGTCAATTTTCTTTTTAGGAATAGAACTGGACTCGCTGACCATGACGGCTCGTTTATCGACACAGCGCGCGTGCCGTGTTCGCCATGTTCGCCATCTTTCCAGAAGGGCAGCTTTCTCCCTTTGAAAACATTTCAAAGGATGTTGGGCTGTATGGCATCAGCTGCAGCGGTGCTTCAGCTGGGCCTACTGTGCATGCGCCCGCTCCAACGCTGGTTGAATGCTCGCGCGTCCTGCCGAGCTTGGGTTTCTGGCGGCCAGAAAATCAGAGTGACTCAGACCTGCATAGCGGCACTGCAGCCCTGGTTAGTGGCCGACTGGTACCAGCAGCGAGTGATGATGGGAACCATCTCTTATCGAAAAGTCATTACGACAGACGCGTCCAACTCGGGTTGGGGCGCGCTGTTCGAGGGCAGACCGGTCTTCGGCCAGTGGTCAGACCAAGAGAAGTGTTTTCACATAAACTGTCTGGAAATGATAGCGGTCGAGAACGCGCTGAAGCGCTTCCTCCCGTTTATACAGGACCAACATGTTCTTGTCCGCTCGGACAACATGTCTGTGGTATCCTATGTAAACCGTCAGGGTGGTGTCAGATCCAGAAATCTCTGCAGTCTGACGGAACGCCTCCTTATTTGGTCTCAGATGCACCTGCGCTCGCTGAGGGCGGCGCATGTGCCTGGCCATTTGAATGACGGCCCAGAAAAACTGTCCAGGGACAATGTTCCCCCAGGGGAATGGTCCCTGCACCCCCAAACGGTCCAGAAACTGTGGCGCCTATTCGGCAGAGCGGAAGTCGACCTATTTGCGTCAAAAGACAACGCTCAATGCCCGACGTTCTTCTCGAAGGACGAGCTGGCCCAGGTTTGGCCCAGCCTCCCGCTATATGCTTTCCCTCCGGTCTCTCTGTTACCACAGGTGATCAAGAGATTCAGGGAAACGCGCCACTCGGTGCTCCTCATAGCCCCGCGTTGGGAGAATCAGACTTAGTTCCCGGAACTAGCACGGCTGTCACACACAGCTCCGTGGCCGATTCCGGTGAGGACAGATCTCATGGCTCGCGGTGCGATCTGGCATCCCCATCCAGAGAGCTGGTCTCTGCACGCATTGTTGATCAACGGTTACTCGTTGCCCTG